TTCACACTGATTAGAACAGATACTACACTTGATCTTAGCCAAAAGGCCGAGAAGGTATGATCGAACTAAACCATCAAGTTGCTACCTGGGTTTGGCACTTGGATGGAATCGCCGTTTGAAAAGGTGCCGGCTCGCTACAAGCTTCTAGATACGAGTTTGACAGTTCGACAAAGAGAAACGATCCAGTGACGTTGAGAACCCAACAGCCAAGCGACCCGTAGTAGCGCAGAAGCCCCAGCCCGCGGGGCTTTCGCTGCATAATAGAATTGCAATTCCGTCTCGTCTACCGTGCTCTGCTCGCGGTCGAAACACGATACGGCATCATTGTCAATAAAGAGTGGCATTGTCCGTGCAGTTGCCCGCATTGGCGCTGCTCGCCCTTCTTTGGCACAGAGCTCAATGACACCGTCCATATTACGAAGAACTCCGCGTCCATAGAAGTGTGTGCAAGACGCAAAACGAGCAATTCAAACGAGATTGAAGCACTATCGAGTACTCTACTATCGATCTCCTAACAAGCGTCGATGGCTGCCCACCGCACAAGCACTACGACACCTAAACCTACAACACACGGCCCCTACTCCTTCCTAGATCGACGCGCGTCGTCCAATCTCTGCAGCTTGTCGAGAGCTCGCATCGCTGCTGTTTGCTGAGCCGGCGACAAATTCTGTGGCGCGACAAATGTCGCCCGCCCCAGTCGCGGCGGCAAATGGGCACCACAGAGCGACCGCGATCCCAGCTTCTTGGACACGCGCATCGGACAACACTGCAGCTGGCGCGCCAGAAACGACCGCAACGTCGTGCCACTCGGCACGTTGACATAGCCTTGCACAAAGCATCGAATGAGCTGCAGCGTGTACGCCTGTTCGGCCCACGACCAGCTGCCACCGCGGCTCGCTTTTGTTGTTGAGGAGGACGGCGATCGCACCACTCGCTCTTGTGATTGACGCGTCGAGGCGGCGATAAACGACTGACGGAGATCGTTGAGTGCTTGCGCTGTCGTTTGAATACGTGCCATCCCAGCGTCGTCGTTTGGCTGGTACATGCGCCGTCCGACACGGGGAGGCAGTCGCTCGCCAAGAAGGTGACCGAGACCGAGCTTTTTGGAGACGCGCATCGGGTTGCAGCTGAGCTCGATCGCGAGGTACCCGCGGAGTTGCGTGTTTCGGGGCACAGCTGGAAGCAGGCCGTTGCAAAAGGCATGGACAAGGGCAGCGAGATACTGATCTTCTTCGGCCGTCCACGCACCGGAGCGCCACGCCGCCTCAGAGGACGCACTCGAGTGTAGAATGTGGTGCAGCTCCATGGCACGACTCGGGCCGAGATGGCAAAAGGGAATGTGAGTGGCGGTGACGAAACCATCGACCGGTTCTATATTTTGAGCTGCCTTCAATGAGCTTTCTAGAATCAGAGCTTGTGTCTGTCTGTGCTCTTGGCAGGACCCCCAGTGTCTCGTGTACTGTAGCTCCACCTGGACAGCAGAGTCGACAGTACATTCGCACGTGGCACCGCTG